GATTACCAGTCATCAGTAAAATTTCTTATAATTGCCATTTGAAGGTAAATTTCTCTTGACTACGATCTATCGACAAATTTGCCGTGACTATCATTTGTCGTACCGATAAATGGTTAACATAGGAAATTTGCCGCTAATTAATAAGCTTGAAACTGATGACCTACGCCGCGCATCTGACCCACGCCGCGCATCATTCTTTGCAAATTTGCGAAAGCAATCGCCATTTTCTGGTAATCGTAATTTCTTTCCCTCTTCGGACTATTTCCAGAAGTAAGATAAGCCCTCTCCGGTATGCTAAGTTACGCCAGAACCAATTTGCCGTCGCGACAAAACAATGAATCCTTGATAACGTGGCTCGTCCTGTGCTATGCTTCTATCAGTCGAAGCTGCTCAATAGCATGGGAATAATGTCACGAATCGCTATCACATCTTCTTCAACAGTTCAAAAAAGTATGGGAAAGGAAGGGAGCTACATGTTTGACTGGCATCCCAACAATTCGAGCGTCATTCTCGCTGACAAAAGCTAGCTACTTGTCTGAGTTTAATGAAAACTGTCGATAAAACTGAAAAAAAAAACAAGAAATGAGAGAGAAACCTATCTGCAGCAAAGAATTTACTGGTTACAGCAGTATTGACAAGTAGGCTAATATTAATTGTCCAGTGATGGCAAAATTAATTAAATGGCTATAACAAGCTGAAAATTTCCTTTTTTTTGGCATTTGTTCACTTTTTTAGTTTCACTGTGTTAATGCTCATTATAAATAAAGAGTACAAAGACCGCCCGAACAAAAGCATGGATTTCCCCGTGTTAGTGATGTTACTGAGATGCTCCGAAATGCCTGACAAGATTATGTTAGGCCCTTCGATTCTGGTTTGCATAACTTCAAGTAATAACTACCTATCTGAAATATAGACAAGGAATATAAATTATTTTAATTTGAAATAAAACTAGTTTAAATTGTTAAGAAAAAAGAATCATGCTTTTATCCATGATGTGTTTCGTATCGTGCATTGAGCATCACATAAGCGTGCTTGGTAACACTAAGGCTGGTAATAGTTGTGCCTCAGAACTGCCTAGTTCGCCGCCACCTTCACAACTACAGTGAATTACTGTGCACGAGAAAAAGAATTTTAGTAATTTTTGGAGTTTCAGAAACGATTTTGCTTTTTTCGGGACAAAATTTATTTTTAATTTTTGCGCTAAACTTGCAAAACCTTTAAATTCGGATATTTGTTAGCTGAACTATTTTGGTGAAAGGTCATCCAGCCGCACTTATTAAATATAAACCGAAGGTAATTTCTGGCAAATGGGAGCGCTTCTCGCAAATGAATATTTGAACCGAGAGGAGGAATCGAACTACTCATCTTCACATCTGGACGTGACATGTTACCCACAGCACAACCGTTCAATGTACTCATTTAAGCACTTTCCTTAACTCTTATATCAGCTATTTCAACACATATCGGCTTTTCGTGGGACCTCGGCGACGAAAGCTATACGCAAGAAAAAAATCTGGCATACCTCCAAGATATATCTGTATTCTAGTGACAACGAAGTCTTAATAGTCTGAAAAATTCTAACCAATCTGATACAAATAATCTTACGCATGCATACATACAAAATGGCTGCAAAACCAATGAAAACGACCACTCTTGGCGGTCTCTGAAGAGGTGGCTTACACACGTCGAACAAATGGTGGGTACCAACTAGAATTATGCAATCCGAGATCGAAAAGCCTAGCGTAGCTGCATGCCGTAAGTGAGATCATCTCAGTAACATCACTAGCATGGGATACCCACACTGATAGTCCGAGTGGCCCGGCATTTTTGGCAGAAGCTAGAAAAATCACGCTGTGAGAAAACTGTCCATGATCATACCCGACGTAAGCTTTGAAGTACTGATATTACCTTATGTTATGTCAGTGACTCGCCTCAAAAGTCATTATAGTATTATGATATTTAAATACTACTATTAGAAAGCATTTTACAATTTCAGCCGACCTTTTCTACCTTTTCCGCGTTGCAACCTCTTCAGCTCTTCATCCCTCCTCACCTCTTTTCTCGCCTCCTCCCGCTTTCCCCTCACCCTCTTTTCCCCAGCTTCCTCATCTTCCGCTTTCCTCTCTCGTATAAGCATTTTAATTGCCATAGTGCATGGCCTTAAACTCATAATGATTTCCTACTGCAAATTGATGGTTAGGAGGCCAAGGAATCATGAAATATAGTAATAATTGTTGATTGCACTTCCAAATGTTGAAATGTCAATGTTCTCTTTGGAGCCCGAAATATGCATAGCGAATTTCACGGATAACCGACGAGTCTCCGGCTTCGAGAGCACTAAGACCAGCGTCCAACCGCCTAAGCCAGACTTCGCTGTTCTGGATTTTTTCACTTTATTTTCAACTTATCTAACGTCTGATGGACACTTTTTCTCCTTTTTTCGAATCTTTAATTACAAATGTACCAAAGTTCTCTGACCAAGAATTCCCTTCACCCCCTTTCTTTTGTATACGAATTCCAAGCCCGCGCCTGATCACGGATTCGTGATAAGCATTTAGCGCCAGCCTAGTAAAGAAAGCATATAAAATTTAAATCGTAAATTCTGTGTAGACTAAGGGGCAAAAACAGTTGGTTTTACGTAAAGATACACAGCAGTGAGCCTACTCATCTCAGTTTTCGGATAGAAACACACTTTCTTTCTTCTCCCACCCCTCACGCGCCCTTTTGTACCGCTGATGAAGCTGCCGGTAGTCTCCTCTTCCATAACAACTTGAAAAACAAGAAAAAAAAACACATAAAACTGATAACGCAGAATTCAAAGAACAATTGGAAAACGTCATTAACAAATAACAAAATTAGTTGCGTTCACCAGAAAACCGGCTGGAGCAGGTGTTTTCTGCATACCAGGGTATCGAACACGTGTTTTTTTTTCAGAAACAAGGGTAGCAAATGTTCCACCTTGGAGCTTTTGGGCATCCGTACGCAGTGCCAGAAAAAAATTAGACGCTATTCGAGCGGCTTCTTGGCGCTTATACGCTAACTGGAAATATGCAGCTCAGGAGTGAAGAACCTAATGTAGCTGCTTCAGGTCCGTTAGCATCATTAGTATGGGATACCCACATCAACTGTCCAGACGGTCTGTGCAGTCTTGATAAACTTATTCATTTTTTCTTAAAAATGAGTAAGAAGAACAAAAATAAAAAATAAGTGGCAGAATACAAAAATAAAAAATTAAAAAAAAAATAAAATTTTCGAAATTCCAAAAAAAATATACCAAGGTGACAGTTATCCCGGAAATTCGAAAAAAAACACTTACTCTTGATGGTTGGCGGAATCAAAATCAGTCGCCGAATTACCACATGAGCACATCCCATAGAAGACATAATCACGCCAGGACCAGATATAATCCGCCGCCATTTTCAGCTAAGAATTAGTACACTTGTTGGTTCAACAGTTAATGCTTTCTCAATGTATTTTCATATTCCATTAAGCGAAATTTCCTAAAAAATCAAGGTCATTAGCTAATAATTAATTACTTCCAGAAATGAACGACGAGCCGCAAAACGAAACGTCAAAACAATGGCAGAAAATAACAAAACTATGCCGAGCAAGCTCTCTCCTGCATCGATACCCGTAAGATACGAGTATGGCGAGTGGTACTTCAAAAGTCGGCGCCCTCCTCTCCTACTCACTTTCTATGACAGGAGAGGGGTCCGAAAGTAGTCCGAGTGGTAACACCTGTG